CACCCATCTCCCCTCATTTCTTTTTATTTGATGCCTCAGACTTTATGTTCCAACAACCACTTGGCCCTACACACTTACGCAAATTTCACCTACTGTTTTTGATGGCTTTTTATATCCTCTCCTAAAGGATGCCATTGTTACCACCTCTATCCAACTCTTCTTCATCCTTTATGCCCCACCTTGGATGTCACTTCTTCCAGAAGCTGTCTCTGATGACTCCCCCTCCCAGCCCGCCCTGAGAGTTGGTACTCCAACTCTGGGTTCTCCTGCACCCAGTGCCACTGTTGCCAGCATTGACTTGCAGTTACCTGTTGAGTGAAAGTCTCCTGTACTCAACCTCCTCAGTATTTGAGCTCCTTAAGGGTAAGAAATGTGACATCCTCTGCATCTCCATCACTATAATTTATCACTGTATATGCAGAATGCTAGATGGTTACAGGTTGAGTCAGGGGAGGGGGAAGAATGTGCTGAATAACTATGAGTAACTTCTCATAACTGTGAGAAAATGGGAGGAACATATAAAAGTGTCCTGTACCTGGAGTGGGGGGTAATTATTCACAGTAAGGACTAGAGAAACAGTAGGTAAAATAATACTTGGAGATATAATTCCACAATAGCCAGGCCAACAAATGATGTCAGTAAATAAGATAGAGAGAAACCTGGTAGAATTAGGAAGCTCCAGAGTTCCAGATAAAATATTTATGAGTCCTTCCTTAGAAAATCTGGTTTCCAGGTAGCCAGCCTGGGCCCATGCAGGCAGATTCTGATGCCAAGATGCAGGCAGCACATGTAGACACTTCCAGTTAGTTTCTGCCTCACTTGCACCTGGTTTGAGTTTCTCCCACACCTGGCACCGACTCAGCCCTGCTGCTAGGACAATTCCTGGGCTCCTCGGTTCATGCAGTGGGCTGCTTCTGACTTAATTTGATCTAGGGCTTCTTAGTTGCTGGCTTAGGAAAAAACAAGACTATAAGAATATGAAAGATTAAGAAGAGATAGTAGAAGGAAACTTAAAACATCTCCCCAGGTGTAGCTCTCAACAGATATAAACACTGAGCTATTTAGAAGGTATTCGTTCTCTATAGAAAGGTTACCAAGGCCTTTAATCTGGGTGTGGCCCAGTGTTTTTCGAAGTATGCATTGTGTTCTTTGTATATCAGCCAAAATTTAGAATTCAGTTTCGAGAACCACAAAGGGTGCATTCACTCACGCTGATTGTACCGATGGCTGAGAATTATAAATATTAATGGTCTGGTGGAATCATGTCTTAATGAATGTCACCACAACATTCAGGTCTACAATAACATGATCTTTTTGTGGCTGGAGGATAATCCACACTGGCATTTGTTTTGTTAATGTGGAGAAAAATTCTGGTTGAAGGAGAAATTCCACAAAACGGATACTTCCATGAGTGCCTAT